GATTTGCATCATTGGTCTAGTTGGTAACATCTTTGTAGTGATGACCTTTGCTTTATATGAAAGAAACAAGTCCATGACGGATGTGTACCTCTTCAACATGGCCATAGCAGACATACTGTTTGTTCTCACTCTCCCACTGTGGGCAGTGACCTATGCTGCTGACGAATGGATTTTTGGTGATTTCCTTTGCAAAATGACCAGAGGTATCTATGCAATCAACTTTAGCTGTGGCATGCTGCTTTTGGCCTTCATCAGCGTGGACCGGTACATTGCTATTGTACAGGCAACAAAGTCCTTTAAACTCAGGGCAAGAACCCTTGCCTATAGTAAACTCATTTGTCTGGTCGTGTGGGTATCATCCATTCTGATCTCTAGCTCCTCTTTTCTATACAGTGAAAGTTACAGCTTCTCCATCAATGAAACCAAAGTGATCTGTGATCACAGATTTGACAGAATGTCTGAAAGCACGATGCTGAAATCATTGCTGCTGTTCCTACAAGTTGGATTTGGATTTTTTATACCTTTCATATTCATGACGTTTTGCTATACATTCATTGTCAAATCCTTACAACAAGCTCAGAATTCCAAAAGAAACAAAGCAATCCGTGTGATCATATTAATTGTAGTTATATTCCTAGTTTGCCAAGTACCTTACAACATTGTTCTTCTTGTGATGGCTGTAAATATGGGCAAGCTAGGCAAATCCTGTGACAATGACAAGATAATGGCCTATGCAAAATACACCACTGAAGCCATAGCATTTTTACACTGTTGTGTGAACCCTGTGCTTTATGCATTTATTGGAGTGAAGTTCAGAAGTTATTTTGTGAAGATAATGAAGGACCTATGGTGCATGCGGTACAAGAAATACAACAAACGTGGCTCAAGGACAAACTCTGATACTTATCATTCAAGACAGACTAGTGAAATTCTGACTGACAATGGATCTTCTTTTACCATATAATACAATTTGAACAGCACTATTACTGAAAGACTCTTCTCGCCGAGCAGCCCAAAACAGTGCCACTGTGCCTATGACAGCAAGCCATTTGGGCTTCTCTGCACCTTTAAGGTAGCTCCCATGATCTACAGCTTGTTTCAGGAAAAGAATTAAGAAAAAAGAATAACGCCACCCTGTGGAAAATTGAAATCGTATTTACCTCTCTTAACATTCACATTCTTCTAAAGTACACTCTCTTAGAATTATCAAAAAAGTGAAGTTTACAGAGGAGCCCTCTGAGTCTTTTAAGGAAAAATTTAATCTCATCTGTCCTACATCACTGAAATATCTGCGAAGTACTAAGTAAATGAATCAACTTATGTCCAGGGTCATTCTCCATACTTTTATGTTCTTTCTGTTAATTAATTCTACCTGGAAATCCTATGTAAGTGTAGGTCTCCACTGTGCTTTTGTTGCAGACAGGTCATGCTGTGGCAATACTAACCTGAAGAGAAGGCATTTTGAGCAAGGCATGGCAAAGGAAGTAATCAGAGAAATGAAAAAATGCACTTAAGACTGGTGACATAGGTGGGCTTAGGCGTCAGGTCTCATAAATCTTTGCCCAGTTATACACTCCACCTGCTCATCAGGTGAGCTCCAACAGCTTACACCAAGTCTGTGGCTGGTGAAAGCCAACAGTGACACAACTAATAAAGAGAACACTGTAATATCCATTGAAAGGTTTTCTGACATCTGGAACTTTGCTTGGGAGAATGGAGCTTTGCTTGGGAGAATCTTCTCTTCATTTGGCACATGATTGGTGCTGGAATCCATCAAAGATGATAATCTGCTGAATGCTTCTCTGTGAAAAGTTGATTCTTTCTGGTTGCCACTCACACTCCTCTTCTTAAGAGGTGACAAACTGGATAGTACTGCAATTATTCCAACACTTCTTGTCAGAACTTGGTCAGTGACAAAATGAATTTACCAGCACAAATACGCCTGTACAAAATATATTTCATTAGCTTCAGAATTATTAAGGACTATACCTAAAAATGAGACCATAATTTTACTTAATTTGGCCAGAATTTTTACTGAGTGAGCATTTATTTGAGTCACTACAAATATAAGAATATTTATAATAAATTAGTTTTACCCAGCCGTGAGTTTTCAGTGAATTCTCAGTGGATCTTCTGCTCCTTCAGTAAAATTCATCACACTGCAGCAGTCGCGGTGGTATGGTGAAGCAGAGAGGAGGAGCAGGAGCTCGAGGGCAGAGGGCAGAGGGGCAGAGTGGAGGAGAGAACAGGACCACCACTGTATGCAGTCTCCTGAAGTACCTACCAGTCCTCTACACTTCTGCTGCAATGGGAGCATAAGCCATGACGATGTCTGGATTTGTCATTGTGTGGGACTTCACACTCCTACGGCTGTGTAAATTAATGCAGCTTGCTCTTTACCTTGGTTGTTTTTTTAAAGAAAAAGTTCATGGCTGAAGACACAGTAGAGCTTGGATCATGAACCACATTGTTCAGTGGCAATGTAAAAGGCCAAGAAGGACGGTGCTGGAGCTGAAGATCCCTTGAGGAAGGGCATTGAGATGGCATGACACAAAACTAGTACTGCCTTGGCTGGTGCAATCCATCCTTGTTTACAGTGCGGTGTGAGGTTCTTAAATATCAAGGCCAAGTGTGATAAAGATTGCATATATCTATCTTGACTGAATAACAACTTCGGCAAGAATATGATACAAAATTATGTAAATGCAGAAGAGGCATTTGCTGTATATAGCACTGACAATTTTTTCTGGAAGAGAATTTGAGAAATAAAAAAAGTAACTGAAAAGGAAAAAATCCCTTCAGATTAATTTATTCCTTCATTTATTGCCTAAAAATGTTCTCTTATTTGGTGCAAAATCTCTCATACCTGAAAAATTTATCATCTCTCCCTCAGCGGATGCGTGAGGAAGTGTGTCCTAGGGTGGGAAGTCCACGACTGAAGCCCACTGACCGCTATGGCGGCTCTTGGGCAGAGCCCCACACGGATACCCCCACCCTCCTGGTGGCCCTGCTGTCATGCCTGCATCAGCCTTCAGCCACCAGACTACCCAAACACTGCCCTGGTGGCCAACAAGGTGGGGCTGGGGTTGACTTGTCAGCCATCCTCCTTCAGGGGTGAGGGATGAAGGTCTGGGCCTTCCCCAGAGAGAGCGGCCCACCGGGTTGCCTCACGGGTGGGCAGTCCCTGGTAACCGTGAGGGACCCTGGTGAATTGGAAGTGGTGGTGCCTGGGCATCTGTCTCATGTGGGAAAGAACACAGACTCCTGGCTGCTGTCTTGTGGGAGGGAAAAAAGCTCACTGAAAATGATGTTGAAACATAGAAAACATACCCAGCTGTTCCCAGATCCTTGTGAGTGAGAGGCGTTGATAAGAGAAGGGGAACATGGTGCATGTGTGGGAGTAAAACAGTATTTGAGGTATTGAAGGGCTGCAGTCTGAACCCTAAGCCCTGAATTACAGTTGACATATGAATGATTCTTAGAATCATGCAGAGGATTTTTTCAATAGTAGGAGAAACCTTCCTCTTGGTTTTCTCTCCAGGCCTGGCCAGTCTTGGGGGGAAAAGCAATTAGAAAGTTAACACCAGGTGACCCACCTTTGAAGTTAATGCCAGGTGTCCTGTCTTTGAAGTTAATAGTATAAAAGCTGGTTCTGGTTTCAATTAATTTTGGAAGCCCTATTTGTGGGTGGATGTGTGGTGTAAGGTGTTCTTGTTAGTACAAGGGCTTTTTGACTGTCCACTGCAACCAGAGTTTGCAGCAATAGTGGGACAGGACTGGGAGCTGGACAGAGTGGAGATGGTGTGTCTGGTGGTGCATCTCCTTGGCAAGTGCTAGGGTGCCTTTTGTGTGATTGGACTTTTGGCTTGGCTTACTTCTTGGGTGCATTATCTATATGAGTGATTATGTTGATTTGTTTGTTTCTCTTGCTGTTAACTGTATCATAATTTTCTTGTATTCACTGGAATTGGATAATAAAGTCTGTTTTCTGTTGATGGCCATATCCTTTATGCTGGGCTATGTAATTGGCAAAATGAGTATGAACCATGCTGATGTCAAGCCCTTGTTAAAAAACCCACTTGAGGTACAGCTGAAATCTCAATTGCCACAGATGTTCACCCTGTTCCTGGGAGAAACAGGGGTGAAAGGTTGGATGGACTGTCAAAGGGCTGCTGAGCAGTGGAGGAGGAAAACCCCACTGCTTGGGCTTCAGCAGCAGGAGGCTGTAGTGGCCAGTTGGCCAGTGGATGTTGCTGATGGGCCCTCAGATACTCTGCTTTTCCTTTGGTGACATTGTCAGGAGAACTGACAGGTGGCCTCAGGTTGATGCTGGGAGTTTAGAGCATGAAAAGAGTACAGATTTATAGCAGCTTGGGTGTTACTTTCACTGCTTATGAAATAACTTTTCACTGCTTGCTATAGGTGCTGCTTTTTATTATTTTCATGTTGTGGTATCTGTGCAGTACACTGCCTAGTAAATAAATGATGAAACTTTTTTTGTTGCATCTATTCCATCTATTATTTTTTTAAGAAAAAAGACTTAGGCTGAGACTGGCTTGTGACATTGTTTGCATATAGAAGGTCTCTGCTTGTTAGTGGGTTCTGCTCTACTTTTGGTGGCTCCATGATGGCCCTGGTTGATGCTTCCACCTCAAGCAGTTCAGAAGGAGGTAGGTCACCAGTGCACACTGTTAAGTAAAAGCAGAATATCTCAGTGCAGACAGCCTAAAGCTAAATCTGTTTTCTGACACATGTTATCTTGAAAGTGGGCCTAATTTATTAATTGGTACCCCATTAAAAAAAGGCATTTCTTTTCCCACAATTATTACATTTCGTGTGCTATCTTTTCTACTTTTATATTAATCTTCTTAGATGAATGATAACTATAAGTTGGTGAAATTGCAAGAGTCACGGTAGACTGAAGAGGTCAAAGCCTTGCTACTAGCAAGGAAAGGTAGAGGAAAGAAAAAAATTATATACAGAGATAGATAACAGTTTGAGAGGATAAGTGAAAACTGAAGAGGAACAGGAAAAAATTTAGTCTAGAGAGGAATGTTTTTGTGATGGAAAGTTATTGATAATGATTAATTACATAACAGAAATAACTTTTTCTTATTTAGACCAAACTCCACTTTGGATCTTTGTATGGCAATATTTTTGACTAGAATTGTGAAAATCTGGGGGGAGATTTGCTGCAAAAGTAGCAAGAAAGTGGTATTTGAAGCTGTCAGAATTTGGACTGAACTGGAAAAAAACAGTTTTAGATTAAGTGGAAATGATAAAATTTTTGAAACGTCAAAGCATTTGTCTCATGAAACATCTAAAAGTTTTGACATTTCCGGTTAGCTTTCAGATACTATAATAAAACCCAAGGAAATTATTTCACAAAACCACTGAAAGAGGCTCATAATCTGTTTTTTTGTTATGCTGCTGCCAAGCAACCAGGGTATTTCCTCTACTGTCTCCTATGGTAGGTACCACCTTCTGACGTCACCTGTGGGTTAGGAGCTCATATCCTCTTTGAAGCAGTCTATGTGAAGTACAGCTCCAACAACAACAACAACAAAAGAGTATATTTCACTCTTAAATTGTACTACACCAATAGGTCTTAATTCTTTTCTGGGTGGTGCATCTGCACATCATCTTCAGGCTGAAAAGGGAATTAAATAATATTCCCTCTACTGTAGGTGAATGACATGAGACTTGATGGTAATGATGTGACCACTAAGCAAGGATTTGTTCTCTGGGAAGCTTTGAGCACAGCTAAGTTGGTTTTTTTTTATGAGTTCCTCTAAGCTAAATTCTCCATTTGGGGTTGAATGAGCTCCATTCTCTAATCTGAGTTGAAAATGACTTGGTTTTATTTAGTCAAGAAACCAAAAACTAATTAAAAAGTTATTTTCATGGTGAAAGCTCTTGTCCACGACGTCAGCAACCCTTTTCCTACAAACTAAAAACCTGGTGCTTGTACAATTTTCTACCTCATATCCATAGCCAGTTTCCTTTGGATTGCTGGTATTATGTAACCCAACTATATATCCTGATGTGTCATTCATATTTTTAATTGTATCATCTTCTTCCATTTATTTTCATTGTCTTTTTATTAGAAATATGCACTGAATTAATACATTCAATTGATCAATCCATTTGATTCAGTCAATTTGATCTATCTACATAGAGCTGAGCTAAACCAGTTAAATTAATACTCTTCTATCAAAACTTTATAAAGCTCTTATTCAGTTTTAGTATAGCTTTGTCATTGCTAGACATTTCTGTCAGTTAATACAAGTTAATGTAATAATATATATTTAATCTGCAGTAGCTGGAATTTGTGAACTTGTGACTCACTGAGGTTTAGGGAAAGCAGAGAACACTTGGCTCCTTCCATAAGAAACAATGGCTGAACATTGAAGTAAGAGCTTTTCTTCAAAATATAAAATATCTGTGAACTTGATTTATGTCAATCATAGACAGACCTGACACTTGGTGGTCTTATTTGTGAAGAATTTGTGCTTAGTCCTATCTAGTGGTTAGGAGTTATAAAGGAAAAAAGTTAATTGCCAGAAAATCAGTAAAATTGCTGCTGCTTCTTGTTGGTGAAGGAGGAAGAAAATTATGAACCTCATTTTCTCTGAAAATAGTGTAGTTTTCCTCCTGCCAAACTTTGTGTTTTTATCTGACCCTAAAGCTTACCATTATTAAACCTATTTATTTTACCATGAAACATTCACTGGCAACTAGGATTGCAGTGCCTGGAGGGGCACTGCTCTTGTGCAGAATCTGTTGCTTTTACTCTGTGTAGTTAAACATTTAGACAATTCTTCTCTGGATCATACTAGTTTTATACTGCTGCAATTCTGAAAATCTGTATCAACAGATAGTCAGACACTGATTCACACTTTATCCTATCTCAGAAGGTTGCTGAAAATAAAGGGGTTTTGTCCACTACGTTCAGTCTCTGCTTAATCTGTAAAAGTTAAATTCTGGTCTATATCTGTGGGTTTTCAATTCAAAAAGTTATGATTAACATAGTTCCACAAGGGGGGGGAGGGGGAATAAGCACGTGTAATGCCACAAATGACACTTCTCTTGTCTGAAAATTCTGTCTCTGGGTTCCAAGTTGATTGCGTCGTAGGAGAATACTGAAGGACAATTTCTTGCACAGCTCAGTCTGATGGCCCAAGTGATTTGTGACATTCACTAACAAGTGACATTTAAGTGAAAGCCAAGTTTTGATACAGCACAGGGAGAATGAAGTTACTGGCAGAGAATTTAAAAAAGTTCTGTATTTTGCGGCTCTATTATAGTGTGTGATCTCCGGGGAATGCAGTGAATTAAGATGGTTGGGGGATTTTTATTTAGCCTTTAAGAAAAAAAATCTTTGTGTAAAAATTACTCCTAAATACTGCTTAATTGGAGAAATGTTCACAGTTTTATGTAAATTTTATTCATTCATAACAAAAGCGAGAGTAACACTTTTAAGGAAAAAGAGAGAAAAAGGTAAAATAAAGGCAAACAAAGGGCCCAGTCTGGACTGAAGTACAAAATCCAAGCTACAGACATTCTTACAGCTTTGTGAAGGTCCTCACAGCAAACTGCAAACCAAACAGAAGGATTCTGCCTGGGTGCTGTGGTTCAGTCTGTGTTTTCTGTCACTGTTTTTGATCATCTGAGAATAACTAGTATTTATTGTTAGGGCCATAAAATCAGGTTTTTAGGAAACCTTCTTGACTCCAGTTTCTCTGCTGACTTCTACAGTGCAAGAGAACTTTTTGGGAATGCAGTTAACAGAAATTAATAGTGTTCAAAATCTGCTTCCTCCTGCAATGGCAGCTAAGATCCCTAAGACACCAGGCAAATTGTTGGATATTCCAGAGTGCCTGACAAAGTCTAGAGTATCTCCAGCAGATAACTGGAGCATACAAGAATCTTGTTAGGCATGGACTAGTTCCTGTCCTTCTTGCCTTAGGATAGGAGTGAAAGCATCCGAATGGACTAAAAGGATAAACAAAAGCTGCTACATGACAGTGCAGGATACAGGATCTGACAGCTGAAAACATCCTGGGTAATGTTT